AGCATTCTCTTTGATCTTGAGTTCATCAATGATTCAAAAGAACCATGAAGCCATTTTCTCTAAAGGTAAAAATGAGACAGGTGGTCGTCCGGCGGTAACTCGGCTCCATCACAAACATTTGCCATCAGCTTACCTGCTAAGCATAACAATAAGATAAGGGGTGCAAGTGCTACCAGGATGAGCAGAAGCAGGAGGGGAGACAGGACGAGTGCAGTGAAGGCGTTGGAAACGACCGTTGGAGGCTTCTTCTCGGGCTCCCTGAATAAGTGCTGCGCAGGGCAGGAGAACGTTCACAATTACTGACGGATGTCTGATGACACCTTGTCATTCGGAAAACCAATTACGGAGGACGGGCTTTTACTTGGATCTCCGGCTTGGGGACGTAAAGAGTCTTGGCTTGAATGCTCACTGGGGCATCCTCGTCCACAAACCTCAGCACGACGTCGGCCTTTGAACACACCGGCGTTGAAGGTCACCGTCGGGCACGATCGCCAAGACGTGATTCACCGTCCCATGACGAGACTCACCACATTCCACAAGATGGGGTTCTCCAGTGTGGCATCGCCAACCATGAGATAGAGGGAATATGTACCGGAGATGAGCGCAAACTCCGTTTTACGCTCTGTTGCGTCCAACTCAAACTTGTACAGACCCTTGGCATCGGGCTCGGCAACAAAAACAACCTCTTGGCCAGTTTTCTGATTGTGCAGCCGGACAAAAGTCTGTGAGAGAGAATAAAAATCACACAACTTGAAGGGAATTCCGAGCTGAAGTGTTCATGACCCGCATTATTGGTTACGTACCTGATGGGGCATAAGTTCCATTCCAGTATTGACGTCAACCAGCTGGAAGGCCATGGCAAAGTTCTGGTGACTGTCAGCAATGAACGAGCTCGCGGCTTTGGAAGGATACTCCACCCTGGATCGTTTTAAAACAACATGAAGTCGCCGAGTCCCAGTGGAAGGTAAAAAGTGTAGCGGCGTCGATTTCCCACCTGGTAGTCTTTGTGCCGATGCTCTGGTCCTTATCCACCACGGAGAGGTCCATATTGGTAACTGCCACCTCCGTCGACACTTTCACTTTGAGCTGCATATGAACGGCGTGACAACAAAAAGTCACATTACGTCACATGTACACTCGTCGACGCATCAAGCGAGGACGAATCAAAGTCGTGGTAGGGCCGTACACAAATGATGGGTGGTAAGATTCTGAAGGGGGCATCTTATGAAAAATGTACTTTTATTGTCGTCACGGGCGCTTGCTTTCGCCCCCTCGCACTGGACTTGGCTTCCGTGAGCACAAGTCGTTGGCCTGTTGAACCGCCCTGCTGCGCCCCCAGCCATCGT